CTGCGGATGTTTATGCAGAAAACGGAGCCTAAAAATATTTACCCCATAACTATAAACAAAATGTATGCACATATATATATTTTGCTTATAGTTAAGTGGTTAGGCTTCGATTTCTGGATAAACACCCGCACTAGGCATTAATTTTCTATAAAAAGTACAACTGTTTATTTAACAAATACCATATAAATCGAAATTTTAAACTTTGCAAAAAAATTATAAAAATTCCACAAACTATTAGAATTTCTAGAAAAATTTTTGGTATGCAATTCCATAACTTATTAAATTTTAGTATAATAAAATGAAAGTTTTAAGTGTTTAAAAAATCGAGTAGATTTTTAGATAATTTTTATTTTGACCATATCACATGGAATACAGTAAAAAAAAAAATTATCTCAAAATCAACGTGATTTTTGAAAAACTTAAAACTTTCATTATATTATACTAAAATTTAATAAGCTATGAAATTGCATACCAAAAATTTTTCTAGAAATTCTAATAGTTTGTGGAATTTTTATAATTGTTTTGCAAAGTTTAAAATTTCGATTTATATGGTATTTGTTAAATAAACAGCTGTACCTTTTATAGAAAATTAATGAGCATTAAACAAACAAAAAATAGCGAAAACTGATCAAAATGTTGCTGCGCTATCGCGTTGTCACGGCCAGTACATCAAATTTTACTAATTTTTATAAATAAGGCAATAACTATGTATATTTGATATGTTATAAATAATAATATAATAAATGAAACATTATGCGTTATTCAGTATTACTTGAATCATGAATAAAAATGTATTCGTAATTTGAAATTATTTGAGTGATGAATCAAAATTTATTCATCATTCGCAAGTGCTTGAATGATGAATAAAAATTTGTTCGTTATTTGAAGTTATTTGAGTGACGAATAAAAATTTATTAGTTATTTAAAGTTATTTGAGTGATGAATAAAAATTTATTCATCATTCGCAAGTGCTTGAATGATGAATAAAAATTTATTCGTTATTTGAAGTTATTTGAGTCATGAATGAAAATTTATTCATCATTCGCAGGTGCTTGAATGATGAATAAAAATTTATTCGTTATTTGAAGTTCTTTGAGTGATGAATAAAAATTTATTTATCATTCGAAGTGCTTGCTTTTTTGTTCAATTATTCATTTTCCTGATAACGCCCATCCCTGAACGACTTATGGTTAGATACTATTTTTAGCGAATTCTTATAGCCCAGTTATGCACTGCTATACCATTTTTACGTAAAAATCAAAACCCAACAGAATTCTACATGTTAAGTGCTATGTGTTAAAAACAATGAAATTTTGCTTTTTTCAATACTACACTCAAACGAAGCAACTGTGAGGATCTTAAGTATAAAGTTTGCTTGCTGGCGCAAAGAGAGAAACCGGCTTCTAATTAAAATTATTTAAAGTGAACTTCATATTAAAATTAATTTTAAAATGAAATGTATAGAATTCTTCTACTATTTAAACACTGAAGATGGAAATGATTTTATTCTATACAAAAATGTCATAAATATAAAATATATGTTTGCTTCTGTGTAAAATGATGTGTACACTAGGGTGGTCCAAAACCAGTAAAGTCAGAATTGTAATGCTCTCACCCCCTAGGATTGTACTCTATCGGAAAAAAGTTTACCCTATTTTTTTATTTTGAAATAGGTCGCTCAAAGTGCTCAAAGTTTTCCATGTATTTTTGTATGGGAAAAAAACTTCTTTTCGTAGAAATGGTATAGAATTCTTGAAAATCTATATTTTTCGATCGGAAAGCTCTGGTTCTCTTCAGGAGACTTTCAATAACAATGCCCCATTGTTTATTTAATCATTTTTTAATACAAACGATTTTTTATTGGTCCTCTCATTGCATTTTTCGGGGTTTTTGGCGGTCCTATAAATTATAGTTGCGATGAAAAATTGGTTAAATAGACAATTGGGTATTATTATTAGGAATCTCCTGCAGAGAAACAGAGTTTTTCTATCAAAAAATATTGGTTTTTAAGAATTATATACCATTTCTTAGAAAAGTTGTTTTTTCCCCATATAAAAAAATTTATGAAAAACTTTGAGCGCTTTGAGCGACCTCTAAATATTTTTGGATCTCAAAATAAAAAACTGGGGTATACTTTTTTCGGTATAGAACAATCCTAGGGGGTGAGAGCATACAAATTCCGACTTTATGTTTTCACATGCATTTTTGGACCACCCAGTGTACACTCTTGTTAAAATGAATAACACTTTTTTTATGAACTATATTTTATTTATATACCAATATATTGTTAAAAACAAGTACTCTGACGTTTTATAGTATTATCTGTTACTTTTATTTATAATTTTGCTTTGAACAAAAATGTACTGAAAAGTACTGATTTTTTTAATATGAAAAAGTCTAACGTACTGATTTCGCGCATAAAAAATCTGGCAACCATATCTAAAGGTCGATTCCTGGTCCCAGCAAAGGCGAATTACCGAATGTAATTCTGGCATGATTGAAAGTGCTGCCACATATTTTATTGGTAAACATATGCTCTCTCTCAGTGCTCCTACGTCTCCCTTTTCGTCAATATTCTTATCTTACAACGTTTATCAGACAACGTAAAAATAAACGTTGTGCAATAACTGTTATAAAGCAACGTAAAAAATAAACCTTGGGCAATAACTGTTAGCAAACAACGTAAAAAGTAAACCTTGGGATATCTATATGTATAATACGCGAAGGGATTTTTTGTCCAGGTCATCAGATCTGAACCGTTCGTTCAATTTTCAAAAATGGGGTGTCAAATTGAAGGGGTCTGGCCATAGTTTGCCGTAATGTTTTACTTTTTCGAAAAGAGTTGCCACCTGTTAAAAAATTAAACTCAAATTATTTAATAATCAATGCCACCAGATCCGCCCCGTTCGTTCGATTTTTTAAAATTAGGTGTCAAATTAATGATTTCGGACTGTAGATGTGCAATAAGATTTTACTTTTTCGAAAAGAGTTGCCACTTTGAACAAATTGCAATTCAAATTATTAAAAAAGTTAAACCATTTATTGAAAATCGGAATGAATGGAAATGGTTTTATTTATTTATTTCAGTCTAAAAAAGTACAAACTTTTGAAAAGCTTTGTTGCCTAACTTAACTGTATGAAGGCTGCCACCTGTTAAAAAATCAAATTCAATCTGAATTAACGTAGTTAAGTAATAGAAATTTGTGTCACCATATGGGCGTCAGAAGAAAAGAGTTTAAGAGGGTAGTAGTTTTAAATATTTTGAAGAGGATTGCCACCTGTTTGAAAAGTCGAAATTAGTCAATTTATATAGAAGGAAATATAAAAATATCTTAAACAAAATATTGTTAAGAAATCTTCAGTTTGAATGCTAAAAATATTTTTGAGGTGTTTAAAATGCGTTGCCCCCATTTAAAAAGTTAAATTCAAATTATTTAATAAGTCAAATGGAGTATTAAAGTATTGGTATCAATTGAAATGGTTTTGAAAAGGCTGTATTTCTAAATTATATTTAGGGGGTTGCCATATGTTTAAAAAATAAAATTCAACTTAATTCATCAGTTAATTAAAGTATGTATCACAATGTCAGACGAAGGATATTAAAGAAGATTTTAGCTTGAAGAGGGTTGCCAATTGTTTGAGAAGTGGAATTTTATTTACCATATACGCAAATTATTTGAAATACGAAAATACAGGTGTCAGTGGAAAGAATGTTAAAAATTCTTTAGTTTTAACATTGAGAATGTTTGAAGAGGGTTTCGCGTGTTTAAAAAGCGGCATTCAAATTATTTAGTAAGTTGAATAAATTATTAAAAAATTTGGTATTAATGGAAATGGGGTTGAAAAGAAGGTATTTCTGAACTATATTTAGGGGATTGCCACATGTTTAGAAAATCAAATTAAATATATTAAATTATGAGTGTTAATCGTAAGCGATTTATGAAAGCTTTAGTTTGAAAATATGTTTGATTTATGTATATTATACGAGACGGCATTTTTTGTGAAGGTCTTTATATTTCCACCATTCTTTCGAATTACCAAAATCAGAGGTCAAATGAAAGACCTTGGCCTATACATGTACGATAAGGTTTATTTTTTGAAGTTAGAACTTTTTTTTTTATCGGTGCAGGGTGATTTTAAATTTGATGAAATTAACACCCGACGCTCAGAAACGCTTCACGGATTCAGATGAAATCGGTAATAACTCTGAATAACATTTAGAAAAGTTTTTAGGTTTTAACGCCATCCGGGTTTACTAGTAACTCTTATTGGCGAAATAAAAAAAATGTTTCATTTAATAATTGGTTTGAAAGAGCCTTTTCGTTAAATTTCGTAATTCGGGCAATGTTTTCAATTTGTAAATTAGAGATAACAGTTATTTTTGGTCGCTGATCATGACACTATTGAAGTAAATGAGCGATATTTATTTGATTTATAAATGGAATTAGTAAAGAAAGTGTTAAAGATAGGTAATTTTTGTGAAAATATTTGGGAATTTCAGTGCGTTTTAAGTTTCTGAGGCGTTGTTTATTTCTACCTGAGAATTGTTAAAATCAGCAAAACAAAGTAGCGGTACGCCGAATGCGCAACCTTTATTCTCTACATCGTGCATTTCGCTCGTTTGACGGAAGAAGTAATAAGTGATAACAAATAATAAAAATTTTTGAAATAAGTTTGCAGACACGGCCGTCAGCGGCCTTCTTTCTTGTTGTGCAAAAAATTTATAACGATACTGTCAACTGTGTCTGATAAGCCCTAACTAAAAACTTAAAGCCATTTCCTACAATTTTCAATTTTTTAGTTACAACCTTCATAAAGCCAATAGGCGATATGTCTTTAATTGAAACAAATATTCCAAAACGACGTTATAATTATTATTTTTCAATTAAATATAATAAAGTTTTGATAAAACATCACTTTCCAAGAATAATTGATTTTCAATATCGGTAATGCTGCTTTGACCACAGATTTTGTATTGCAAGTAATTTTAAAATACAAACCCAAACAAGGACTTGACGTAACATAGTTTTCCCACCAACGCATTGAAACAAAAATCAACGGTAGAGCAAGTGTCTTTACAGCCAGATTGGATGAAAATGTGGGCCATACCAAAAAAGCACTCATTTGAGCAACAATCATCAAAACGCTCATCAAAAAATAGAAAACGGAGCTCCAACTGAAATGTCTGACCAGCCCAATATCTGCAATTCAGAAAAAAGTTTAAAAACGTAAAATAATAATTATATTGGAATGTATTTATCAGGGACGCGAATTGGGGAAAATAATTTGGTCGGGTCGGTTCAGCGCACCCTGGGGCCCAGCGTGCTCAAAACTCAATTTTTAAAAAACGCAGGATTATTCCCCATTAAATTCTGCATTTGGGTGTAAGTTTTCAGCTTCCTATCGTTTTCCAGCTGGGAGATATGCGTGTACAAACTTGACAAATTAGAACAATATTTTTTTTCAAAACTGAGAAATTCAAATGTGCAATTCAAATTGTTACTGTAAGAAAGCGGTATTATATTTCGCTTTTTTTGTTTTTTTTTTCATTATTTATTTTTTGGTGTATTTTTTTTGGAACTATGTGTTTTAAAAAAATTATGTATACAAAAAAAAAACTAAACTAACCTCTATTTTTTGCAAGTGTAATTTTCAAAAAAAATTTTTATAAAAGCGCATAGCGCTTTTAAATTTGCCAGTACTGCAATAGAGCATGGACTTTAAAATCTTTAGTGAGAAGCGGATTTAGTTCGAACAAGGACTTTAAAAACTTTAGAGAGATCTATAGTAGGAAAACGACTCGCGCTGAAAATTTAGAAGACGTTTTTAATATATTGTTAGTTTCATCAGATCCTCTGATTAGTTGCTCGCGCTTGATGCCAGTGGTCACAAACCGGAGATCTTTCTAATATTAGTTTAACGGGGCTTGAATGGGATTTATATTCCGACTGTGAGGAATAAGTGTCACAGTTTTCATTATATAGTGCTTATCATAACTATAAGACACCCACATATTGACAAGTTTTTTTTTATTATTATTTAACTTTAATTATTTTTTTAATAAAAATACAATTTATTCCGTGGGACTCGAACCTACAACCTCACGGCTCTTAAATCCGCATTAATGCCGTCTATCAAGGCACTATTTTGATCAGATTGGTTGCGCCGTTATCATGTTTATTTATTTATTTTTAGGAATTTTCAATTAAAATACAGTTCATTCTCTAACAAAACCCATTTTTTGAGTACACAGTTTTATAGCCCATTGAATTTTGGTCTAGCAATGCGCAAATTTCAAGTGGCTAAAAATTACCGTTGATATTTAAGATTTTTTTTGTCCCATTTGCTTCCATATAACGAATAAAAACAATTGATTTTTATATGGAAGAAACCCGCATTACCTTTGGCGAAAAAAATTTAAAAAAATCAACAGTAATTTTTAACCACTTAAAACTTGCACATTAGGGTGGCCCTTAACCATACCGCACAATTTTAATTTTAATTTTTCTTAGATCGCACCCCCCAGATTGGCGAATATACTTGAAAAATTGTGTTACCCAAAATTTTAAGTCAATCGGATAAAGTTAAAGCGTGCCGACCGCCCCCCAAAATTTGAATATAAGTTGTTTTTTGCTTAAAGTCATATTTTTTAAAGGTATATATATAGAAATTAAATAATGTGAGCAATGATTATACTCTTGCAGCCTGTTTGATTGGAGCGGCGTGGCAGACACCGTTTTGAACAGCTAAAATTTGTCCTTTGCCAAAACTTGACCAGTTAAAAAAAAACGTATACATACAGGGTGTCCCAGAAGTAACCCACCAAACTTTAGGGGAAGGTAGATACAATGATAGAATACAATTCTACAGACTTCAGTGTACCCTTAAACCGAATAAGTCGGAGTGGTCCCACCGAAGCTCCCTCTCTCCGCAGTGACTCAAGGCTCCACATGGATTGGTTACCGCATCTCGCACATCCCAGAGTGCGTGAACGAGGACGCAAGAGTCGTGATTGAGTATAGCCGTGCAATTGTAACAATATAGAAGAGAATCGATCGCGGACGTGTTTTTTATCGATCTATTAATGGTGTTTAAAAATATAACAATATTGCAAAGTGTAATGTTAATTGCTGCATTATTGGATTAATAGTGCATAACGATTTAAACCAATAAGCAGACAGTGGATTCGTCGAAATAAAAATAAAATACAAATAAGCGAAATACACAAACAATAAAGCACATTTAAGTTGATGTTATTGATAAACAAAAAAAATCAGGTAAAAGTGTTACCATTTTTGAAATATTTAAATTTTTTTAAATTAAAAAAACATCGTGCCTTTTCATGTATTTTCTTTAACTGCATCTACAAACCAGGCTATACTTAGTAAATTTTTTATGTAAAATACTTCCAGATAGTTGCTTCTCCATACTCAAATGCACTGTAGTTAAAATATATTAAGGAACCATCATAAAATTACGACTATTTTGGGATTTTTAACTTTTTGATATTTTCTTCCCCAATTTTGACTATCTCTGGTGAAAAAAAAATGTACTGAGCTATAACTTTACATTACATAAAAAAATTGCTCATTTAATAAAGATTTCAGAAAGGTGCCACTCTTACTGTTTCGAATAGAAAAAAAAGTTATAGCCGCTTTTGTGTGCAAAGGACTGAGACACGCTAGAATGTATTTAATAGATTTAAATTTAAGTAGCTCTTGTTACCGACCAATGACATGCAAAGGTACATTATTACCTGCTCCTGACATTATTTTATGTTACTTACCGGAATTCGGACTAGAGTCTATAACAAGGGCTATATCTATCAATATTTTTTGTGAAGGATGGGTTCACGTGAAATAAAATATACATGAATTGTTTGAAGAAAAACTTATTCATTTATTAATAAAATATGCTCAAATTGGCGACCTTCTACTCTAATACAAGCTCGGCACCTTTTAAGAAAAGACGCTTTTAGAGATCTTAAACTCCATTGGGCTATCTCAGCAGCAGCTCCATTTATTTGTTCCCGCAAATGCTGTTCGTTTTGAATTGTTTTTAAATAAATTTTGTCCTTAAGACAGCCGCAGTAAAAATATCTAATGGATTCAGGTCGAGCGTGCCACGTTATTGGCCCGTATCGTCCAATCCATCGGCGAGGATAAGTTTCGTCTAAATGAGCTCTTACTTCACGCCCGTAGTGAGCAGGGCACCCGTCATTTTGCAGCCATAGTTTTCGCCGCAGGTTTAAGGGTACATCTTCTAAACCAGTTGGAAGCCGTTCCTGAAGGAACTCTAAATAAATGTGAGAGTTGAGCGTTGGCGGCAGTTCCACAGGTCCCAATATCTGACAATTAAAAATACCGTACCATACATTTATTTTGTACCGGTACTGCGAACGATCTTCTCTCATTTCGTGAGGATTGTCTATCTGCCAACTGTGAAGGTTATGTAAATTAAAATAACCATCACATTTGCATGATGATTCATTGCTCCAAATTATTTTATTAAAAAAGTTGGGGTCTGATTCATGCATTCGCAGCATTTCACGGCAAAAGCTAACCCTCGACGGGTAATCTTTTTCTTGTAGAGCCTGAACACGTTGAAACAAGTAGGGATGAAATCGGTGGTCTTTTAAAGCTTTGTGAACTGTAGTTTTTGGTATTCCCGTCCGTCTTTCCATCATTCTCACTGAAGTCGATGGTCCTAGTTCCACTTCCTCTAACACAACTTCAACATCTACCGTTGCAGGATGTCCTGTTTCGCCGCCACGCCTTCCAGGTATGCGACCTAAAAAAGTGAAAAATGATAGTTAACAAACAAGCAAACAAGAAAGGTGTAAAAATCACTTACCTTCATATATTTCTCTATGGGTCCGGGCGAATACTTCACGACCCGGATGCCGACGATTGGGGTATCGCTCTGCATAGAGTCTTTGAGCAGCTCTGGCATTACAGCAAGCTTCACCGTAAATTAGGTGAATATCCGCATATTCATGCGACGTATACTGTGTGTTCTCTGTCATAGTATTAATAACACAATGTTCGAAGGGTCCAATTTCACAAAGTCCACTTTCGCTAATTCCGGTAAGTAACATAAAATAATGTCAGGAGCAGGTAATAATGTACATTTGTACTATTTAGCATGTCATTGGTTGGTAATAAGAGCAACTTAAATTTAAATCTATTAAATACATTCTAGCGTCCTTTACCCACAAAAGCACCTATAACTTTTTTTTTCTATTCGAAACAGTAAGAGTGACACCTTTCTGAAATCTTTATTAAATTAGAAATTTTTTATGTTATGTAAAGTTATAGCTCAGTACATTTTTTTCACCAGAGATAGTCAAAGTTGGGGAAGAAAATATCAAAAATTAAAAATCCCAAAATAGTCCTAATTTTATGATGGTTCCTTAATATATTTTAACTACATTGTATTTGAATATGGAAAAGCAACTATCCGGAAGTATTTTACATAAAAAATTTATTAAGTATAGCCTGTTTTGTAGATGCAGTTAAAGAAAATACATGAAAAGGCACAATTTTTTTTTAAATCAAAAATGTGTAAATATTTAAAAAACGGTAACACTTTTACCTGAAAATTTTTTGTTTACAAGAGAGTATGCAGACTAGGAATGTAAATGTCTTTTTTAAGTCCCGAAAATCCCGAGATTATTTGCCTAGAATCCCGGGATTTGTAATTTACACTGGTGGAAATAACTGAAACGCTTTATGTTGACCAGTTTTTAATATTTAATATTTTTTTATAAATGTGTAAAATTGCGTTCTTAATTTTTCTCTCTGACGTCAGGATTTTTAAAAAGAACTTTGAAATTTGAAAGATATGAGTAATTCAAAAAATTATTTAAAAATTTCAGTGCAATATACTTACATTTGACATTTTTTTCAAAATTTTCGTTTTGATGCAGAAATACTTCTAGATGCTCCAGCGATATTTCTGCATCAAAAAGAAAGTTTTGAAAAAAATGTCGCTTGCGTTATTTTGGCGGTTAGGGCTCGATAAAGTCTTTTTGAAAAAATCATGACGTCAGAGAAATGACCATTTATACATATGCAGTTAATTATGTCTAATATGAAGTAGACTTTTATAAAAAAAAAATTTAAAAATTAAAATATTAAAATTTGGATAAACAAAAGGAATATAGACAAAACTGGTCGAATTACGGCGCTTCTTTTATTTC